GGGAACGCGTTCCCTCGCTAAGTTCTAGGGAGTGCTAGCATGATGTACGGAATGCAAAGTAACCCGCGACTCAACGTCGATCATTGGTCATTTCAAAACGGCCACTCTCTAGCCTTCGTATGGCTTCATCGATTAGGTCGTCCGTATATCGACGATTCTAGCATGTTAACGACCAACCGCTTCCTCTCTGCATCCGTGTCTGTGATCCTGAATTTACTTGTCATTTATAAACGTCTACGCTCGAGTTGTTCGTCATTTAACTTGGTCGATACGTGGTACGTTGAAATTGTTGGTGTCTTAATTAATGGAATTATTTTCGTGTTCCTCTTTTTCTGGTGAGAACTACGTAGTTTTAATAGAGGGAGATTTCAGTGAAAGTGTTATAATCGATTTCATGAGTATGTTTTGTTGATTGTGATCATATAATTATAGATGTATATGTAATTATGCTTAATAGTTGATAATTGATATATGTATGATTCTCTACGTTTCGATCTTGTTTTTTATTAGTACGTTCGATTCGACGTTTCGCGAGCATTCCAGTTCATTTCTTCGCTAAGAAAAAGTGGAAGAAAAAAATTGATTAAAAAATTTTTAATAAAAAGTATGAAATTTATAAAAACACGATTAAAGGGCTGTAAGTTAACGGTAATTAAACCAGCAAAGAACGAATTGTCACGTAAAAATTAAAAATCTAAAAACAGTTTGGCAATTGCTTTGATTTGCTGAATGGTATTTTATTTTATGACACAGAGTACCTGGAATAGAATTTCTAATCGAGTAAGGCAATCGGATAAAGTCTTAAGTAAAAGTTTATATCATTCATTAACTCGTAGCTGTCAGACGGATTTTACATATTTTTCTTACTCGAGGGCCACAATATGTAAATTAGAAAAATTTACCAAATGCCCAGTTAGATAAATTGTAAAATACAAATTAAATTTAAAAAAAACCATATGTAAATAGCATTTAAGTTTCGAAAAATATTACTTATACTTGACTACTTTTTATGTGACGATGTTATCTAAATGATTAGTTTAGTGATGATTATGAAATGTATCTGATTTTAACGATCCTCAAAAATTTAATAACACCGGTCACCGATGACCACCGTGACAGTTATCTTGTCAAATATTATACATATGCGTGTTAAATGTTATGCTATATTTTAAATATTTCACATGTAGTGGTTATACAAAATATTCGTACACCATTGGCATACTAATTAATTAAGCCAAGCAAAAAGTTGACACTATAAGAATGAAACGTATATAGAATCTGATTATCCGTATATAGAATAAAACGCTTCAATTAGTAAATAACTATGTGTGTCTATACTATTTTTGCATATTACGCGCATTTGGTACACTAAATTTCAGTATATGCATCCATAAACATTCTTAGTTTATTTATGTGCAACGCAAAGAAAATAAGTAAATCAATAGAAAAACCAAAATTCCATTCTTCATCAATCCTCTTTCAACCCTAAAAACTGAAACTCCTCTTAGATCCAAATTCTCCGCAGTCTTGATCGGCAGTGGATCATTTTTCTCAGTGACTCGCAGAGATTATCATCACCGGGTGAATTTCCGAGTCGTTTTAAACTTCGTAGTCAATCGTAGTCCGAAAAGACGAGCGTAAGACCACGCGAGGTCCATCACCCGCTGCGAGGGCGCGACGAACCTCTGCGAGTCGCCTCCCGCGGCGTCAGGGCGGTCGGAGAACAATTTCCTCGTCACGCGGAAATAGTCCGCCGCTCACCAGGAGTTGTCGAAACCCGAGGCACGTGCCTCTATCCGGTTCCCACGTGCCGTTCTTCGTTGTCTCGTATTTTTGTTCTCGTCGCTGTGAATAGACCTCGAAGCATGGAACATCTCGTGATTTTGCGTAACGGGCGACGTAACAGTCCAGGCATCAGTCTATTGTCTTTCACTTACCGCCATCGTTTTCTTCACCAGGAAACAACCCTCGCTTACGATCCTTTGTCCGCTGCTCCAACGAGCACCTCGTGTAAAAGAATATGAAAATAAATTTGTAACTCGAGCGGGTTAGGGAGAGTTTCTTGGGAGAGCAGAAAGTTTCTCTTTGTAGATCTTTTGGGAGATTCTGGATGTTTCTTGCGAGATGTTTGTGTGCTTTCTTTGTTCTCGAATGTAGAAGTTTCTCTTTATTTGTGTATGTAAAATTAGATTCGTGTGATATTTGCTTTTAATAAGAAAGTTTTATAGGACATTTTAAAAACGATCTCCAAAATTTTGAATTAGATATGTTATAGAAAATATAGTACATTTTCATTGGATTTTATTCTTTATCGCCAAACAATCAAATTCTTCGTAAGGAAATTGGTACCCTTGAATTTCTTTCTTACAAACGTTTACCTTTATCAAAAAAAAAAGGTTTTGCTAACAAACGGGTGTACGGTTAATAATTTTATGCGAAACTAGTTTTTTTACGAACATAATTAAAAATGGAACCCGAGCACAGATTTGTTTCAATCTCTAATATTAAAGGTTGAAGCAAGTAAGAATATTACAACGATTGATATACTATTAAATTTTTTGTATATTTTTACACGTTATATGTATCCTGTTACATTTTTAAATCCCGTGTAAAGGCATAAGAATCCGTAGTCTAAATATTGATAAGTATTCCGAGATTTCCTTAAATTGGTAAAAGCTTGGAACAATAGAAAAAGTTAAATTAGGGTATGAAGAGCTCAATTAGCTTACGAAGCGTGATGAAAGAAAAACTTCTGTGTTTTATATCTGTCCCATTCCTATCACATTTCGTCATTCTGCGTGCATTTCGAATTACCGTAACCTTCAATCTCTTCATGAACGACCGCAAAACGAAAAGCAGAACATTCTCCATAAAACGAGTACGCTACCTCGACGACGAGGTCGCTCATTAAGAGAATCTCGAGGATAGAAGATCGGTAAATAACACAGCCATTAAGACGTACGACTAAATTGGTGTCTGTCGAGCAGGAGGGCAGAACAAGGATATTTCACGAAACGATTCTACGGATCGCGATCGAATGAAATGTCAGCCGCGTGTTCGCGGCACAAGGCAAAAGGATCCTGGAGAAAATGCGGTAGCGGAGAAAAAGTGGTAGTCGCCAAAGACGATCGAGCCTCACGATCATTTTCTTCGCCTATGGAAGAGGTCGGTTGATATCGCACAGACTAAACGAATCGTAGGCTCGCTTCGAGTGACACTTACGAGCCTGCGAAACGAATTAGCCGATGTGGCCGCAAAAAAATCACGACTATTCCTAGTCCTTGAGGTCTGAACTCGTCGGTCGGGTGGCAGGTGCGAGGCTGAAATATTCAAAAAAAAGTCGCTGCCTCCGTCTTTCTTTCTTGTTTGTTGTTCGCAGTAGTTCAGAGGGACTAGGAAGATCTTCGAGACAGCCAACGAATGAATATCTTGCTCGCGCTATCTGCGAACACGGCCGCGAACGAGCACGCAACGATCTCTTCGACTAGTCGTTGAGATTGTTTAATGATCCACCTGCCATCGCGATAATATTCTCAGTCGATTTGATTAGGAAGTTTCTGTCGGCTGGCGAGATTTATATTTGACGATGCCACTGTTTTCACACGGAGAAACACTATATAATTAATTATATAAATGATAATGCGAAAATGGAAATTCATGATTTTTTCATCGAACGTTTTGTTCTTTTTTTTTCTTTTTCATTTTTTCATGGATGATTTTGTTCAAAAACTATAATATACACGAACACCAATAATCATTGTAAAAAAATCTAAGAAGAATATGCACAATGTTCCCCCAATATGTATTACATTATCTAAATCTATTATATTCTTCCTCTTAAATTTAAAAACATTCTGCCCTTAATTTAATCATGAACAATCGTAAACTTGATCTTAGAACAAGAAAGTAAAGAAAAGGATATACATATACGATATTTCTATGTACAACTGTCTTTACATATAGCTGCTCTTCTCCTCGACTATCACGCCACACATCCTACCCCTAATTTAACCACGAATCATCACGAACTTCCTTCTCCACGTTCTATCCTTGCGTGTCCATCGAGCCTCCTAGGAACAAAGACACCAATCTAACCCATCCATTTGAGGAGCCGTGATTCGCATCGTATTCGATCGTTCGTCCCAATCGAGCGAACAACAGCCGAAGCCTTTTTCTTCCGGCGGCGTTCCGCGATACATTTCGCTTCACCTGCCACAAATGGCGGAGGCGTCGACCGACATCGAGGTCTTCCTAGGCATCTACTAGGCCACGCTTTTTGCCCGTCTCACCAACAGACCAAAAGAACGTCGGAATATCTGCTAATACGTTTCTCAGCCAAGAGATCACCTGCCGGTTCCTTTCGTCCTTGGGTAATTGTGCCGGTCAGGATCACTGGGCCGAACAGTTCCGATTCTTCTAGCATTCGAGGTATGCCACGATTTCGAAAAACACACGGAATCCCGCTCGACCGAAAAGCCAACGTTCGAAATTCGCAGCGATTAACCCCGTAATTAGCCGGTGAAATTCGAGGAATGGAAGTCGACAGTCGGAGAATGGGATTTGACGAATTCTTTCGGTAGAATGTCACGATCGTTACGTAATTCGATAGCCTTCGGTCGGCGGTATGATTTTCGGGCATTTGGGTTTAGAAATGTCGATGTAGTCTTAAGAATTTTTAATTTGGATAAATATTTAATTCGTTACTATCTTGATTTGTATCTTTTATATATAGCTATATCCATGTTAGGATAAAAAAATAAATGGTACATAAAATAAATAATTTCTTTAATTTTATCAAAAATCTACATTAAATTATCAAAAAATGTAGATAAATAAGTAATATGTAAAAGTTAATGGATTTTCAGAGGTCCTTCGCCGGAAAAAAACAAAACTCTAACGAATACGTTGAAAATAAAATATGTTGCTTAGGTAAAATTTATGTTAGAATATGAAATTTAATCGATGAAGAGACAATCGCTTATTAAGAGATATACATATACAATTTACAAATCTTATTCTAGAATATCTTGTTAAAATAGACTGTAGCATCCTTCTACATAATTACGAGGCATGATTTAACTGAAATGTTATTTAGAAACATATTACATTCCTAATATAAAGAACTTGATATAAAATTCCTGAATTAATTTCATATCTTGAAGAACCACTTTGATCTCAGGATAAACTCGTATTCTGATCATGTGATTCCATTTCAGGTTAAAAAACCAAGTATAGACACAGTAGCAAAGAATATACAGAGCAGTCCGTAATTCATGGCATATAAATAGAGTCAGGGAGTATCTATGGGTCAAAGTAAGACAAAAATAAAAAATAGCAAAATTGCATTTGACCTTTGAGAAAATCGAGTTTGAAAGTTCGTAAAGCATACGTAAATTTGCTTAAATCCTAGCTAGACAGGAGTAGATAATCGATAGAATGAAAATGAGCCGAAAATGTAGAACAACATTTTTCTTCCAAAGTCTCACTTTCGAAAACATTAAATTTGAAAATTTGTATAGTACGCGTGACACATTAAAATTCCATTTTCTCTAAACCGAAGCCTTGAGCGACAAAATTTTATTTTTCATTTTCAACTGTAATTTTCAACTGTATTTTCTCATGTAAAATAATCGCTTGTCAAATGTCTAACCGGAAATTGGTCAAATTCACGTATACTTCACAAACTTCCAAACTCGATTTTCTCAAAAACGAAGCCTCCAACGCAATTTTATTTTTTATTTTTATCCTATTTCGAGCCATAGAGTCTCGCTAACTCCAATTGTGTTAAATTGCGAATCACCCTGTATAACAAGATTAGCAAAGAATATAGACAATAGCAAGACCAAAACATAGTAGGATCTCAAAAATTTACGACTTTGAACGAAGAAACAAGAATCACGGAGCCTTCAAAGGATTCCCAAGAGATCAGAGCAATCTGACGAAATAGCTGACCGCAATTAAACCGACGTGCCTTAAATCAAACTTGCGCAGCTCCCGGACCGATCGTAATTCGGCGATTGCCTTGTTTAATTATGCGGAATGATACATCGTCGATGGGCTTATGTAAAATAGCCAATTAAAATGAAAAGCTTCCACTTGGTTTCCAGCAAAGCCTTTTATCAACGGGGCAGGATTTAACAGCGCGTCTTCCGCGTCTTCACTGACCGGCGAATTCGAAATAAGGATTCTTTATGTACGGATGGAAATTAATGGGACGATAAAGTCCCCGTTAAGTTTGACTGGTCTCGCATCGAAAGAGCCGATAAAGGTATTCCATCGACAGGAAATGAATTAAACGAACCTCGTAACAACACTAACAACGACATGCAAGAGGTCTTTCATCTTTCTCTTATTTCATAGCTCGAAAATTTCCGACTTCGTTCGGTTCTTTGGTTTCCCGCGTATACTAATCGAAAGGCAAGTCACGAAACGCGAAAAAGATCCAACGATACGAGGGAATTTTATCTCGAGCGGTTCGTGATCTTGATGGTCAGAATTTTTCGGATGCCGGCGTTGCAAAAGCATCTTTAAAGCCGCATGCCGCGTTCGTTCTCTGGTTTAACGATGTTACGCAACGAGACACGCTCGTGAACCATGCCATATGCAAAATTTGTCAGTATATCGAGTTGTTAATAAAACACATAATTGGTAACGATTATGTAAGTTCAACGGCCTCGATCGATCCGTTATCATTCATTTACGTTTTCTTAAATGTCCCGCTTTGTACGCTGTTGGCGACCATAATTGCCTTACCGTGAATTTCTGTCAAAAAGGAAGGACGTAAATCGGCACCCGGGACCGCACAGAGATTCGGTACCGAGATCGAGAAAAATATTCAAACGTTTGAAAAGGTAAAAAGTCGGAGATTATTTACTTTAATTAGTACGTAAGGAATATATAGGTCAAGATTCTGCTTCTTATTTTTTCAGAGTAAGCAGACTCCGACAAATATTTAATTGATTTAATAAGTTCAGTACTTCACAGAAGCATATTTTAAAATTCTTCATC